AAATTACTTGGTCAAAACTTGGTCAAATTTTATCCAACTTTCTGTATGTCCTTCTCTAAGATGTAAAATCTAACTTTTATATTTGGCTCAACTTGAGTTCCTTAACAAAAATCCGAGAACGCGAGATGCCAATCATCATTGCCACTGAAAATCTAGACTTAGCTAAATTTTCTGAGAGGCCAAAACAGCACTGCATTCAAACTTGAGGCCATTGTTTGAGCCACTTAAGAGTTGAATCAGAGATTGGTCCAAAAATAAAGTTTGTTCTACTCCACTAAAACTTCAACTTTTATTTAAGGTCAAACTTTATAACTTGTTTTCACACTGTTATTTGACCTTGGTCAAAGCAGCATCACGATAAACCTTAAATTAGAGTTTTAGACCGATTGAGGCATTTTCTTTGCATTTGCTCAACACGAACCCTTCATGATTTTTTTGTAGAGTTCAATTAGAGTTAGTTGGGCAAGGTAGCAAGGTTTGGTCGACATCCCACGTTCCCATTCACCTGATGAAGCAATTTAAGCAAAAATATAACTTATCATTTTATGTGACTTTTTGGTTCCAAACTTCATAAAACTTTTCCACTGGTAAAGATGGATGTATGTTGATGTAATGTATATAAAATAAGTATGTTTAACATTACTCTTACATAATCTTAACAAGGGTCCACATGTAAGCAAAGGCGTGTTGTCCAAGTTCAAGTTGGGACTCAGTTTCATAGATTGGACCTTAACACCTTCATCATCACTTCAAAATTATGAACTAGACCTCTTGATTACCATTGAACTTGCCATGTTGAAGCTCAAACCCACTGCTTAACTAGTGAAAAACACCTGGGGTGTTACACTATATGCATTTATATTACAAGGAATGCATCTACCAGTTGGCAGTAGCACATATGTGTACCATGCCAATGTGCTACAATGTGACAATGATTGTAGTGTCATGCCTTGGCGCTATCATCATATACTCGTGGTCTAATTATAAATTTAGCTGTAGAACATATTCAAGTTTGACCTCTACTTACATGAAACCCTTCTTATCATCCTTTGCTTTACCATATCTTGCAGTTGGCATGATTGAGTTGAAGAAAGACAAATTTAGGTATATAAGAGATCTATTGGAAATGACCCCTATTAAACTTCACCAAGATTATCTATGAAGAATGGTTCACCAAGATTAATCCTCAGCTTGTGAGTACTCGATCTTGCAAATGCTAAAAGTGTGCCAACTAAGTAGGAACCACATAAGTGAATGTTTTTTTGAAGAGTATGGAGGGGCCAAAGCCTCTACAGTAGAAAAGTTTTATTAAGAACGCAACAGAGAAACAAAAAAACAAGTAACACAAGTATCACATAAGTGAATATTCAGCTGGCAACATTATCATCTGGCAATTGTTATTGCATATTTAGCACATCACCACAACAACATGCACATATTTAGTTATTACATGCTACTCCTATATGTCAAAAACTTTAGAGCTCATGTCCTCAAGTTCGGATCGGTCGACAAGGCACATCAAAGAACGACCAAAAAGATGTCTTAGGCTGGCTTGCTACTAGCAAGGGTGTGGCACCTACCATGACCGAGATTCTGACTTAGGTAGAAATTCTCAGTACCAACACCTTCGTGAGACTGAAAGGCTAGCTCTAGGCCATTGATAACAATGTGTATGGAATTTGACATTGGTCTTACCTTGTGGAACGGTTTGGACTTGTGGAACGAATTAGACTCGTGAATTATGTCTATTTAATGATGGATTGTATATATTCTTGTGAATTAGACTTGTAATGGTAGTTTATATAATGCTCTTGTGCTTGTGGTATATATATGTGTGTGTGTTTTCTGGTCGAATTTGAATTGTAATTTTGAATTTTTTTGCGAAAATATGTACTGTAGGAGCGGTTATAGACTGAACCGCCCCTACAAACAGGTATTATAGGGGCGGCTGGTACTACAGCCGCCCCAGCCGCCTCTACAAATCGATTTGTAAGGACGGTATGAGAACCACCCCTACAAATGCATGATTTGTAGAGACGGTATGGTAGGGACGGCTGGCTGAGCCGCCTCTACAAAGCCTCACCAGCCGCCCCTAGAAACCATTGTTGTAATAGTGAATGCCGCACCTAAGCGACGGCGAGCTCTGTCCAAGTCCTCTAATGGTTGTTTTGGGGCCTTGAGCGAGGTGAGAAGGTAGATAGGGATGGCACTTAGAACCAATCTTACCAGCTCGCGTCTCCCTGCTGGGTTAAGTAATTTTCCTTGCCAGCCCGCCAGCCCGCCAGTCTGTTTCTTCTTTTATACATAGTACGCTGAACGTGCAAAATTTTGAGTCGTCCCAGAGTAAGTGTAAGGCCCAGGTAGGTTATTGGAAACGTACCCGTTGGCTAGAGGTGGTGTCCAGAATCTGATCAAGGTTTAGTCCTGCACATGACCACATATATAACATTATGAGGCTATTTGGTTCCTCGCCTTTTATCCCCTGCTTAGTTGGTGACTAAGATGAGGTTGCCATAGCCGCACAAGAGTTAAAGCTTCAGGAATCTCGCCACAGTCTGTGGCGGTGAATTTGGCTGCCACAATCTATGGCCGCCACACCTGCGCTGTGGCAAATAAAGGCTGGCATCCAAACAGCCTCTATATTATTCAGCTTGCAAGTTCAACAGTTGACCTGTTGACTTTGAACAGGACACGTTCTGGTTGGTCGAACGCGGATCGAACTAGACAGGAATTAGTCATTTGATTTTACTTATCTTATTTGGAATTAGTCAGTTGAGTATGCATCTAACTGTATCAGTTCAGTGAAGCTTGGAAAATCTGTTGTATGTAGGCCACCTGCAGTCCATCACTGACTGCTGATGGGTCATGTGCTATTGGCATCAAAGGATATACAACACTGTACAGAAACTGATTCATGAAGCAACTGTGAATCCTTCTCCAATAAGAAAATTGCTCGTCTATTCTTTCCAAAAAAAAAAGGTTCCCACTAGCTAACAAGTAAAGGATGACACAACATTGTAGCTAACGAATCAAGAGACTAAACGGTAATGCTACGCGTCGTATGTCCGACGTGAGCAAATCGTTGGACGCTCATGTAGGGCCATAGCCTCATTGCTTACGCTTTTACCTTGCCGCTCGCTCCGCCAGCGAGTTTATTAAAAAAAATCGCCATCCTTATCCCTTCGCGCTTTCTCCTCTCTGTCGCAGCGCCTTGGAGCTGCCCGTCCTGGACGCGCGCGCCTCCCTCGCTGCTTGATCGTGCCCCATCCGGCACTTTGCTCGCTTGCGCCCCATCCGTCGCCGCCTCGCCCCCTCGTCGCGCGCGCGCCGCCGCTCCCTCCGTCACATGCGCTGGTGCTAGTGGTGCTCGCTCCGCCGTGCGTCATGCATGACGCCCGCCCGGCCGACCCAAGCCCAGTCTTTGGTGGCGGTGGTGGTGCTCACGCTGGCCGCTGGTGCTAGATGCTAGTGGTGCTCGTGGACCGCCACTGCTGGCTGGCTCCCAGCCCAAAGGCGAAATAGACCGCACACAGCGCTACCCCTCCCCTATGTTGCAAATATATGTTTTAAGTGTTTCAGATGTATGTTGCAGTTGTTTTATATGGATGTTGCAAAAGTAAATCGGGGATATTGCACATGCTACGTATGTTGCAAGTGTTTGAGAGACATGTTGCAAGAGTTTGTTTAAAATGTTTCATCTGTTCCAGACGTATGTTGCAAGCGTTTTATGGATGTTGCATATGTTTTAAACATATGTTACAATGATATGTTCCAAAAGTTTTATCAGTTCCATTCTTCCGTTGTGCAAGTATTTTCATGTTGCAAGTTGCAAGTGTTCTATCTAGATGTTGCATATATTTTTATACATATGTTGATAGTGTAAGTTCCAGATGTTTCATCTGTTTTAGATGTATGTTGCGTTCAAGTGTTTTCACGTTGCACGTGTTTGATGTTGTTCGGAGAGTCTAGGGTGCGAGGGAGTGATGGTGGCATGGCACGGGCGCTGAGGAATGGGGGCGTGGCGAGCCAGTGGCCGACGGACGTGGCGCACGGCGCGCTAGGGGCCGGGGGTCGGGGCCACGACAGGGCGGGGCGAACGGATGGGGCCGAGGTGCGCGGATGGGGCTGGTCTAATCGAGGCGGACGGGGCAGATTGCGAGCGAGTCGTACGGACACGACGACGGCGCGATGCGCATGTGGGCAGGGCGAGTTAGCGGATGGGAGGGGGTGGCAGGCTGTGCAGGCGCGCGCAGGAAACGGCCGTCTGATGAATCCTATCCGGTTGGACGTCCTGGCACCAGCACGTCGCATCTCTAAAAATCCAGGCTTGCAGCACCCGTTAAATAGAACAGAGGCACTTGGCAACTTAGAAATCCGTAGGTCTTTCTCTTCCCAAATATTTTTAATTAAAAGTCACAAAAAAATTATTTTTAATTAAAATGAAATCAAACAGTTTTCAGCCCTAAATTAGTTAAAAATGAACCGAGGCAATGGTATGATAGTCATGGTAGTTTTGAGATTCGAGTAGTACCAGATGCGTGCCAAAGACAGTGCTAAAGGGTTAAAAAAAAGACACACTTGGCTTTAGACCAGAATTAGGATTACATATAGGACCTATTCGGCAGGACTGAAAAATAAGTCAAAATACTGTTCGGGCTGATTGTTGTGAGAGAAAAATACTGTTCTGTCTTAAAATACTGTTCACGTAAACAGTGATTTCGTGAGCGGGCTGGCCAGCCAGCCAGCCAGCCACCAGCTTTTATTTATAAACATGTGCTGCGGGAAACATCGCTACGGAAACCGAACATGAACATAAAGTACCTACATCTGTTAGTAGAAACGAATTCACAAATTCAGATTACAAAATGAGGAGCAGATTGCATGCAAGTTCTGATGACATCATTCGACTGACGGAATAATGGCAAATCAAATTGCAGCGCGGGCAAGATTGCTGATAACGATACAATACAACACATCATTCACAGTATGTACACGATTGCTTATGGCCAATCTCTAATATCTGAACTAAGTGGCCTGTCAAGTTTAGTGCCTTCAGCTCCGGTGATATGAGATTTAGTTACGGTTTTGGATACCGGTGTAGCTCCATCTGAAGAGCACTTCTTCCAAGATCTCGTGATTATTCGAAGGTGTTCTGCCACTTCTTTCATTGTTGGTCTCCGATCTATTTCCTCACAAATACACTTCAGCGATAGCCTCCCCATCTCTTCAAGCAGAACAATATCTCCACCATGAACTGCAATATCATCATCAAAAAATGTCCTTCCACTGCCATCTGCCAGGCAAGCTGTGCGGAATTGTGAAATGAGGTCATCATGATCGGCATAAAATACAAAGTTCTTCCTACTAATAAGCGTCAAGAGAAGGACACCAAACTGGTATACATCGGTTTTCACTTTTAGTGACACACAGTGATCGTGAATTAGGTCGTCGTAGAACCTGCTTGATGGAAGCTGATGACTAGTAATTGCATCGTCGCTGGCAATAATGTTACTCTCCTTGATAAACTTCCTTGCCCATGAAAAGCCAGTGAGCTTTGGCATGAAATTATCATCTAGAAGTATCTTGGATGGTACCACATAACCGTGTCTGATAATACCAGTTGCTGATGAGTGGAGGTATTCTAATGCTTCTGCAATTTTTACTGCAATCTTTGCACGTAAATCTAGTGGGAAGTCTTCATGCCTGTCCAGGACATCAGATAAACTACCTTTAGCAGCAAACTCATACATGAAAGCTGGGCAATCAGCATCCGGGCAATATCCCAAAAGTTTGATGATGTTCCTATGGAATATTTGAGACAGGATCATCCCACCATTGATAAACGCTTCTTCAAAGCCCTCAAGTACTTGAGAAAATATTCTCACTGCTACCACTGTATTGTCCTCAAGTGTCCCTTTGTAAACTCTACCTGAAGTACCTCCACTGAGTAGATAAGAGTAATTATGTGTGACTTCTTTTAGCTCCTCCTGTGTGAGAATTCTCACATTGCTGGGTTCTGATTGAATCTTAGAATTGCTAAGGTTCCTCTTCAAAAAGACCAAACTCTTCTTAATCTGCATCTTAGAATTATAGGTGGGCATGATTATCTCTTGCCTGTTGTTTCTGCGCCATGAATGGTGTGATGCCAAAATTGATTCTGAATAATTTTCATGTCTGTCCTTCAATTCTTTTCTCAGAATCCGAAGGCGTTTGACCACATCAGTCATCTGAGGACGCCTATAACTGATCAGTGATAGGCACTCAATTGCCAATTTCTTCATTTCTTTAAGAATCTTCATGTTGTTCTCATTTGCTATTGCAGCATCAAATATTTCTCTAAACCCTTTACCACTTGCACAGCCTTTATTGACATATCCAATGAGGTTAATGTCACCTTTTCTTACCCTTTCTCTAGCTATTAGTTCACAGAGAACTAATCCAAAGCTATAAACATCACTCCTTGGAGTAAGACATCCCTCTTGAATATATATAGGATCCATGTACTCTATACTTCCTTTTACAGTCGTAGTGTACCGAGTGATGCCACCGACCAGAAGCCTTGAAACTCCAAAATCCGTTAATTTTGCTGTCAAATTGTCATCTAGAAGTATGTTGGCAGGCTTAATATCACCATGACAGACAAGGTTGCCAGATGATAAATGCATTGAATGCATGTAGCTTAATGCCTCTGCACACCCTATAGCAATACCCAATCTTACATCCAAAGGGATCGAAATTTCACTGTAGTGGAGTATGTCATTGAGATTTCCTTTGGACATATACTCCATTACAATCATGAGAGTACGTTCCCCAATGCAATAGCCTATGAGCTTCACCACATTCTTGTGGCTAATTTTACTATGGATACGTACTTCTTCCATAAACACTTCTCTCAAATCTTCATTGATATATTTCTTCACTGCTACAGGCTCATTGTCATCGTCAAGGATTCCCATATAAACTTCTCCAAAGCCACCTTTTCCGATAAGAGTGCTAAAGTTTCTAGTAATTCTTTCAATCTCAACTTCTGTAAAAATCTTAATGTTGCCATTGATCTCAGCTTCATGCTTTATCTTATCATGGCACTGTGTGATATTTCCAGTCATAATCTTATTTACTGCAAGTTGTGGTGTATACCAAAGCACATTTGCCACAATGCTTAGCACCTGTGATGGACAAAAAATAAAAATAAAAATATATAAATAAAAACCAGAATTATCAGTAACATTAGTAAGACTTTTATATGAAATATGTTGTTAGGCATGATAAAATTAATTTACTCAGATCTTCTGTATATAGCACATTTAATTTGTTGAACCGTTGATTTTGGCACTTTACTATCTCTATGGATAATCTTTTTTTAACCATTCAACTGGTGAACAAGTCTAGCCTACTGACCTGATAATAGAATCGCAAGACTAAAGGAATTAGTCATCGGCTGTGGAATCAGTTGTTCTAAACTTATTTTTATAGAAAAAATAGCAAATCTCACAAAACCCCGGTAGAACAAATTTATAACACAAAGCCACATGTTTGTATTCTTCTGCATAAAAAATAAAACAAGGTCATGGGCATTTATAGTAACACAGAGCCACATATTGTATCACCCTCCATTTGAGCAAGCACACAAACTAGCATCGAGATGGCCGTGCAGAAGTTGAGGCGGAGGGGCCAATGGGTATGTGAGCTTTGGGAGCTCTAAATAGAGGTTGGCCGCCTCTGGCTCACTCTCTTGAATATTTTGATCATTGATACATCCTTGTGAGCTATGCCAAACACCTCCCACTCATCTCCTTCATTGATTCTTCATCCAAGTGAGATTGGGAGTGATCTTAGTGCATTTGCTTAGAGTTTTAGCATCTAGTGGCACTAGAGATCGTGTGAGCTATGGGATTGCTTGTTACTCTTGGTAGTTGTCGCCACCTAGAAGGCTTGGAGCAGCGGTGATCGTTGAGCAGAGGTTGGTGATTATCTCCGGCTCCGATCGGTGATATTGTGAGGGGTTCTTGGGCTTATTCCCCGGCGCAGCGCAAAAAGTCACTCTAGTGGAATGCTCGTGACTTGTGTATCCTCATCTTGTGTTGGTTCTTACGGCACCCTTGTGTAGGGTTTGGCTTGTGTATGCCAATTAGCGCGTTAACCACCAAGTGAGTGTGTCGCCACAATGAGGACGTAGCTTGCCGGCAAACAAGTGAACCTCGAGATAAATCTTTGGTATCAATTTGTATTCATTGCAATTGATTTATCTCTTCCTGGCTTGGTAAACTTCACCACTCCCCTTGTATTTACATTTATTGTTATAATTGTGTAGTGTAGTTCTCTTGTGTAGCCTAGAAGTAATTAGTTAGCTAGTTGATTAGTTAGTAGTAACTAGTTCTCGCTAGCTCACTAGTTTAGAAGCAGTGACATAGCCTTTAATTGAACTAGACATCATAGCTAATTAGTATTGTGGGTAGGTGGCTTGCATTTTTAGTAGAGCTAGAGCAAAACACATTATCTCCATTTAGTTGACTAACAAGTTGCTCTAGTGCTTCGCAAAAAACTTAATTATGCTATCCAACCCCCCACTAGCCATTTAGGACCTTTTAGCGTAGCTGGATGAGTACTATCCTGATTCCTCAAGGGTCCAGATTATTTCATCCTCTCGTTCATCGGCCAGGTTTATCTGTACTGACTGTGATGCATTCCAAAGGCCAAAGTACACATGTAGTAGGTCATGGTTCATGTTGTAGGCGATGTCCCTGATCCATGCTTGTCCAGTGAGAGCTTTGCTTGACTATTCTGTTCTTTCTTTTATTGTGTTTGTGGAGGCTAGGGAATAGGCAAGCGGGGGCTGGCCATGTAGCCAATTGGAGGTCCAGAAGGATGCCTTGCAGCCATTATGAACCGTGACTCTTGTTGCTGCTATGAGAAGTGCAATGTCCGCCGAGTCTGTTGGTAGCAGTGTGCCATTCCAAGGTCGTTCCGGGTTTTCCATGCGAACCAAAGCCATATTATACGTAGACCTCTGCTGAACCAGTCGAGATCCAGTATGCCTAATCCGTCGAACTATACTGTCCTGGTGACAAGAGGCCATGCCACCTTGCACTAGCCACACGTGATTTCGACAAAACGCAATCAACTAGGATTCTCTAGCCTCTATTGGGCCACGTCATAACAAAATCCTGGCAGTTAGAGTCACGTATTTTGGTTAAATCAAACCATTCGTCTACAAGGGCTTCTAGGGTCTTCGCAAGAACGCTACACTCATAGGACGGAAAGAGGTAGCATGCGCCGGCATTGTTAAATTGTGCCATCTCTTCCGGTCGCCCTCGCGCCCCTCCCAAGAGTTTACTCTCCATGACCGGATCCAGTGCTGCACCCGAGCAAACAATTGGCCTGTCTCTAAACACTTGGCTATCAACTTCAACCTCCATCGAAGTCAGCCCACGTTCTCTGCAGCGAACGTTTGGCATCGTAAGCGATATTTGGAGCTAACTTATTTTTATTCGATGTTATATGGTTATCCTATTGAAGGTGAATTGCAAAAGGTCTATTGACATTGTGAGGAGAGCAGATTATAGCATAGAGGCAAAGCAAACCTCTTTTTAGGAAATGGAAAATATCTATCGTCATCTTTGAATCGTATTGACTAATCAGTAATATCACTATATCAGTTTCATCATTTTTCGGTTAGTTGTACGCTTTATAAAAATAAATTATCAATAGGTATACAAGATGTATCAGAAAGTACGTGAAGACGAAGAACCCAGGTTTCAAAACCATCTATGTTGAGCCTCCAGAAAACTCACAAGCAGACAACTGCAGCAAAAAAAGTAACCGGGAACCAGAGAGGACTATTTCTCCTTTATCAATCTATTGCCAACATAACAATGCTACTTAACTACAATTAGGATCTAAATGAGACACTTTGAAAGTAGATTAACCCAGGTTTACAGTTCAGAAATTTACTTTTTTGTGCAATCTGCTAGTTCTAAGATACTTGGGTGTGATTGCACGTGTTTGGGTGGATTAAATTGCTCGATGATACAAAGCAGTGTAGTGAGACAACGTTGAACTGTTTACTTGCTGATCAGTTGTTTAATCCTGTGAGCATATATCCTGTGTAACATGTGATCTGACTGCTCTCTACTAAACTTCAGTAACTTTATTCTCCTGGTTATGTTGCTGGTTTTCTAGGCATTTAATTTTTGATCTAGAACCTGGATTTTGGTAAGTAGGGTTGTCACGTTAGTCTAGGATCAGTAATCACCAACTTGGCGTTGGAAGGCTGCCTATTGCAGCAACCCGCTATTTTGAGAGCAATTATTTATAAAAACATGTTTATATTGTTAAGCTGCCTTCTTCATCTGCTTGTCATGTTTAATGTTGATATGAGCCTGAGTAGTTCTTTGTTCATATTCTCTTGATGAACAATATTTAGGCAACACAAATTCCCGCTTGGAATGATCAGCAATCACTACATTGGCTTCTCAATGCTCATTTTGGTTGGAAAATTACATATTTTTTTCTCTGCATATGGTTCAAATGAAGCTCTATTCGTGCCACTCCACTTGCAGCCGTGCTCAAACATGTTTCACTTTCATTTGTCATAATGGATCATAAACGTATAAACTAAGTTGTCCTGGTATCTTAAAAGTTGAATCTTACTCTATTTTTTATAAGAAAAGAGGTTATGTTAATTTATCATTCACCTTATCAAAAGTTTAGCTTCTACAAAGGGTATTAGATCAAAATTATTTTCACATTTTTACCTCTACCCGTGAACCATATTGGCAAGCACTAATCTAAGTTCAAAATTCTTTGTTCATATTCTCTTGATGAACAGTATTTAGGCGACACAGATTCCTTTGGAATGATCAGCTATCACTACATTGGCTTCTCAATGCTCATTTTGGTTGGAAAACTACATATTTTTTCTCTGCATATGGTTCAGATGAAGCTCTATTCGTGCCACTCCACTTGCAGCCGTGCTCAAACATGTTTCACTTTCATTTTTCTTATTTAGACTGATGCTTCCTATTATCCTTAATTTCATGAATTAAATGTCCTGAATAGCATGGCATTCCACTATACCTTTTTCTAGTGTACACAGTACTATATGTGATAGAACCGTCCAATTTATAATAGATCAAGTACGGCTGTCCCTGTTTAACACGTTGACGCGCGCATACTTTCACTTATATAAACTCGGTAGTCCGCCGAGTGTCACGAAGGACCTCGGTAAATCAACATCATAACCAAGATCGCATGATTAAGCAAATACACATCACATACACAGAGTTGCAGTGAAATAATATTACAAATGGGTTCACAAATAATAGTACAAGTTTGGATTTCAAAACCGGTTAAAGGAAAATAACATAGCTTTGAAATGATTACATTAATATAAGTTCCAAATACATTGCTAGCATAAGTGACCTCCTCTGATAAAAGCATATACATGAGAAATAGATATAGAGTTACCGAACCCACCGGCGGTTAGCCACCATCTTCCTCAGGCTAAGAATTTCACCTGCAATATGGTGGGATAAACCCTGAGTACTCGAATGTACTCAGCTAGACTTACCTGTCATAAACAAGAAATAAAGTGACACCAAGGATCATGCAAGGCTTTATAAATGGAGCTAACTTGACAACATTTTACATAAAAAAGTCACTAATTCAGCTATACATTTTATAATTCGGTTATCAAGTTAATTATAACTATTCATCCCTAGATTAGCAACTAACATGTGTCAAACATGTGGTATATCATTTAGTAGCATAATAATAGTAACCATAGCCGGTATAATAATTCCATGTTCATCATAACCGTCATTCCATAATCTGATTACTACAATGTTGGAGCTAGCCCGATTTCTCACCATGCGAGAGAGACGGCGATTCAAATCGATTTCAACCAATTTGGGAATTTATTCCTAACACAAACACAGGCAGACTAGATCAACGGTCACCTTAGGTCACATTTGGTACAACTCAAGCCCACATTTCATGAGTTCGTCCAGCGCCGCACGATCAGGTACAACCAGCTATCAAGACGTTCAGGCCCAGCCTACCCTTGGGCTCATATCAGGCTCCCCGCACATCCTTACTATCATCCAGCGTGCGCACTTTTACATAACGGGGCCTGGCCTGAGTTGAGCTACTCGGCTTCACGGTCAGAACGAGTTATCCGGCCAGCTAAGTGAGAGGCATGCGTTCAATCTCAACAGAAGTTCCAACAATGGTACGGTCCTTAATCGACATAGACGGAATCACATGATCCAACCTACGCATAGACTCTGTCCAACCTTCAGTTACATTACCCCATGGTTCTTTTCTACGATAGCAAATATAGCCAACTATGCTCCGGTATCCACCTATATCTCGCAGGTGACAGAAAATCACCCGACTTCTACCGGTCTAAGCATGGCTAAGCATATATTCGATCCTGGACCTACACAGGGTTAAAGGTATATTTATTTGGACAAGGTAGTTCTATGCATCAAGTGTTTCCAATTCAACTCTTATAACCTAATGCATCAAATA